AAGCAACCTTATCATATTATAGAAAACAAAAATAAACTTTTTAAATTAAATTTAACTTAAGTACTAAAATATCTTATCAGAAGTATGAAATTAGTTATTACACATTTACTATCACTTATCATGTTTTTCAAACCTAATTAATGAAATCAATACCAAATATAGTTCGGTATGATTATATTTTGAAGAGGGTAAAAAGAGTTTTGAAAATGACTCCATTTAACACAATAGATTAGATTAGACATAAGAACTGCTCAAAAGTGGAGCTGTGTAAATAGGCTTAGAGAACATTCATTATTTTACTTTCATACGTGGGATTTTTACTTCTTAACTAACTTAAAATTATTACCTACATCTTGACAAAACGCTTTTAACCATGATATTTTTTAATTCCTGTTTCCAGTATATTTAATTCTTAATACATCATCATATTTTAATGTGTGTAAATATTTGTTTACCTTGATGTCCGTAAGGCATGTGTAGCTGGGTGAGTCGGCACTGCCGACACCCTGTCCTTTGGCGGCTCTAACTTAATTGCTGATTTGGTTCGCTTTAGGGGGTTACTTCGAAAAGATCGCTTTGAGAAGAAGAACGAAGCCAGCCGCGATGGACTGTGCTGCGTTTGTCCACCGGGGATCGGAGTACTCGGAGCTGACCCACGTCGACATGCTTTTTCATACGATGTATCTGTGAACAAAGAAGTAAAATATTAATTTATGAGATACTTATATCTATGTTTTGTCATGTGGTTAAAAGTATTTTCCATGCATTTATTATTCTCTTTAATTTTAATTTTGAAAATGTTGACGCTTGCAATAAAAGATTAATTACTGCCGTGCTGGATCTTTTCGGTAGAACCGGCTTTTCAAACCCGTTGTAATTAAAGCAATTCACATGAAAAGTGCTTTAAAGTTTCTCTGAATATCGATTACTTTGACTTTGAAATTACCAGCTACTAATTATAGATACCTTATTCAACTGAAATAAGTATTAGATGCCGATACAAACTGCACATAATGTTATGTAGACATTCAATTCATCAGAATATCAAATGTATCACCGTGATCTTCGTAAGAAAGAAATGAAAGTTTCTCCTACCACAGTAGCAATGAAATACATAATTAAATTACAAAGTTAGAGAATTTCACAAACGAATCCGTCGTAATTAAAACACATCCATGTTATCAGCACCTAAATAAATAAGCTTCATTCAATATTTACACAACACGTTTCTTACCTAAACAGGAGAGCGAATAAAGGAAGAACCTCATATTTAACACAATTGAAACAGATTTACAAAGACGCTCGATTCAAGTGGCATTGAATACAGCAATCATGCAATAAATTTATATATTAAGGTTGGTACACACGTATTTCTATCAATACGACAATATTTTTTTAAATAAATAGCAGTAAATTTCACGGTCTGCTTTCACGTCGTTTCCTTAACACAATCTTAACTGATATAAGTCATTTAATTGATATTATCAAATAAGATAATGAATCGCGTCACAAACTTAATCCCAAAACACTTCCCGTATATATATACACAATATACATAATAGATGCATTGGTTCATTTACTCGCTAATCTCTCTCATCGTTGAACTTTTTTCTAACGAAATAAAATAATTTTGCTCTTACAATAGTAATAACATAACATTTGTAATAATAATATCGAAATGCGGTAACAGAATTGTATGATTTTGTTCTAATCGTTTTAAAGCACGCCCAAATAAAGTTTGCATAAGAGAATTATGTATTTATTATTATCGTATGTACAATACACTTATAGTATCGTATTACGAAAGCTATGTAATCAAAACATTGCCGACGCAGCGATACAAGCGCATGGTTTCCGCAGGATGTTGCGCGCACGACGCCCGTGACCGCTACAACACGCTTGTAATTTCTATTGTGTTATGAAAAAGAATAAATGAATTAAAAACGGTAAGGTCCGCTTAGGTACATTATTTTGTCTCACATTTAATCAGGAAGGAGGAACATTTAGAAGTATACAAGACTTAAAGAAACTAGGCCAGGCTCAATGATTTTTATAAACCCATAAGATTACAAAAATGGCTTCAACATAATTGGAATAACAAGTCAACGACCACGAAGTGAACAAGCAAATGTTTGCAAGCCATTACCGTTATTGCATCGATGTCTTATAGTAACAATATTATCTTCATAAATCTACAAACAACTTACTAAGAGATATTTTTGCATACAAAACGTTTAGTTAAATTTGCAGTAAAAAACTTATGACGAATAAAATAAGTGCAGCAAAGAAATTAAATACAAACACACACATCAATTTATTTTGTAACTATGTATTTGTATAAAATCTTTTTTATAACATTTTATGAAAAGTAAATATTTTTTTTCCGGAAAATAGTCTAGAGACGAACATATACTTACTGTAAAGTAGACGGTCGTCTAAAACATTATAATTAATGGGATTTAAAAAATTTGAAGCATACCATTTCAAAGGATTACCGAAG